TATGTTGCTTTATATATTATACATGTATCTTATTTTTTAAAACATTTAAATTATTTACTGTCTTTGTGAGAGTATTCTAACTTTGAATTAATACGAATATCTTGCAATTAAAATGCAAAAAACAATAATCAGATATCTACACAATGAACTTTATTTTATAAGTTCTATATATCTGTAGCACATTATTATAATATTATACATATTATATATTACATATAATAAATCGATAAGTGATATCATTCCAGGATTAAATATCTACCCTAAACAGTTTAAATCTATCCATTTTAGGGCAACAAATCTGTGAAGACATATCCGATTGCAATATTTTTATGATAAATATATAAAAATAATCTAATATAACTTTCACAAATTTGTTACCCCAATATAAAAAAATTCGTCACTCACCGACCCGATGCGCAACAGCGGAGTAAATCTGCCACGTAGCTACGGTGATTCTGTAACACACAAAAAACATTCAAATTATAGCAGCGCTCTAAATATGATAGATATTTTAACAAGTAATTCTACGTAAGTAATTCTTAATGATTTCTTATCAAATCTATTTTGTTTTTTAATTAAATGTTCATTAAAATATATAATCTATAATTTCCAAACACCATTTCCAATAATTACATAATTTTCAATAAAGATCGTTATAGAAATAAAATAAAATTTTAAATTGTTTCTCTGTTTCTCGAATTATATGAATTTTAAATTATCGCTATCTAATAATTCTATAAATGCAAAGTTAATGAATTTTAATTTTATTGACAAGAAATGTATATTTACCGCAAGGTTGCTCCGCCGGTGCCCGAGGCCTCTCCTAGGCCTCCTCCTCCTCTCGAGATGTCAGGTCGTCGGATGTCCTCGTAGCACAAGACACTCGCGAAAAACACTCGCGAATTACTTTAATAATGCGCGCGGATAAACTAATTTTAATTTTAAATAAATAAAAATTTAAATTTAATTTTAAATACAAAAGTCTTTCGCGCGATACTTGACGGCACTCCGCGTTTAGCTGCCCGTGAAAACATCAAGT